CTGTAACTTCCTCATCTGTGTGCGTGTTTTTTTGACCCATGGAAACAAGCCGAAGGTAAAGATGAACGCAGTATTATTATACCACCAAACTCCATCTTCCAAATATATATATATATATATATATATATTTTAATGCATATCATCGAAGCCAAAATATCGAAGCAGTAGAATCCCTCGCAAAAGCCACACAATAAAGCTACTTTAACACGTAATTCAAGGGAGCTAACCCACCAAACTCTAATCATGTCATGTATGATGGACATATCCTAATACCAGTTAAAACTAATTAAAAATAAACATCTAGAAATCCCATATTTTTAAAAAAATGCATGACAGTACTCAAATATTCAAATAAAACATTCTACTTCTTCTTCTTCTCTGAAGTGTTTGAAAACCTCCAAAATTATTTAAAAAAATGTATTTTCACTTGACTTCGTAAAATTATTGCTACAAAAACTAATCCAAACACCTCCATATCTATAATACTTTTCCGATTTTAAATATAAAACTCATTTGTAGTATAGTTTATATTATAAAAAGGATACTGCTCCGGTCCTTATTATAAGACCCCATTTAACTTTTTATTTGGTCCTAATTATAAGACCCCAATCCATTTGTTCTCTTATATTTATGTATTTTTTTTCAAGATAATCCTTCTAATAATAATAGTTTTAGCCAATATACTTAATTAGCAAGGATATTTTAGGAATGACAACACTTATTTATTATAAATAACCAACTTAACTTACTTCCTTAATCTCCTCAAATAAGTCAATTGGATCTTATAATTAGGACCGGAGGAGTATTATATTTAGGATCGGAACAGTATTAAATGTATATGTTCATGAAAGGAAGATAAAGACGCAGGATACATCATAGTAAGAAGATCATGTGCTTTTCTGTTTTGGTTTTTGTCCACTGATTGGGACATGAACGCTACAAAGGAAAGAGGCATCCCACCTTCCTTCTAGGAACGAAAGGGGGGGGGGGGAAACTACTACTCAAGAGAGGAGTGTGTGTGTGTGTGTATATATGTATATAGTATTCAGAGGTTAGAAGGTTGGTAGTGTTAAAGTCAAAGTCAAGCACTAGACACATAATTAATGAACTTGGGGAGCAAGCAAAAACTTTAAAAGAAAGGCAGAATACCAAATATATCCTGCTCTTTATCTTCCTAGCTTTTATATATATATAAATATATATATATATATATATCTATATATATAACAGCGCATCCTTCTTCCTCTTGCATTGTAATGAACTCATAAAGCAATACAACTTTCCTGTGTGTGAGCCACCATGTTCTGCTGCTTCACGGCCAAATCATCATCAGCATCAGCTTCGTCTCCTTCTTCCTCATCGAAGCGCAGAAAAGAAGATGAAAGCAGTAAGGGGCATGCGGTGGAAGCAGGTTCTTTAACGCTGAGAGACACGCAGATTCAGAAATCTGAAGCTCCCATTGTTGTTTCTTACTTCCCTCTTAATTCTCAACCTTCTCGCTTATAGCTGCTCTCTCTCTCTCTCTCTCTCTCTCTATATATATATATAGCCCTCTCATCATCTCCACCCAATCTGATCTCTTTCTGACATGATCAAAGAAGACGTTGACGATCATCGCTATGAATCTATGACCTTCATGGGAGAAAGTTTATCTTCCTTCTTTTTTGTTGCTCTGTCATAATTAATTCTGTGAATTAAAGTGATGAATTAATCGCTTCTCTTTGTATCTGTGATTTTCTCTCTGTTCTTACGGTAAATAATTATTTTGCTTTTAGTTTCTGCAGACAGAAATATGGATGAAAGCTTATATACAGATGATTATATATATATGAGCTTGTAAAATTTCAATAAAAATATTAGTCCACAGCAATGATATCTTACATGTTAATTTTGATACTACATAACTTGAGGTTAATTTATTGAATAACCATTCAAGTCTTCGAGAGCTAATTAACCGACAGATTTCACTTTTTTGATTCTAAAATATCTTTGTTTTACTTTTAAAATATTCATTTAACTATATACACAAATATATATAAATTAATTGAATATATATATAACTATTTCCATCCCAATTTCTTATGCATATCCCTAATAATTTGGTCACATGCCCATTTCATGCACCTGCGCTCCATAGGATCAGGACAGCATCCTTGAGTCGAATAGTATTATTTATGCTATAATCATTTTTTTAAATTAAATAACGTGATCCTTGGGGTCAGTAATTACGTCTAGCAAGTAGCATCGATAAATGAATATAATACTAGTAATTCTAAAATGATGCACCAACTGTTTTTTCTTTTGAGAAAAATTACGATCATAATATTGCCATGGACACAAAGCATGTGGATGTCTATTTCAAATGTCCTGTCATATTTTTGATTTTTTTCAAGGTTAGTATTATTATAACTTGAATATGACTCTTCTTGTGATTTTTTTTTATAGCATGAAATATAAATTATGATTCATTAGTTTAGAATTAATTATTTTATGATTCCATTGACTTATACTCTCATCCTGGTCAAAAAAATTGAGCTATGCTCTCATGCCTATCTCACTCGAGGAATAAAATAAACAAAAGTATTTCTATTATTTTTATTCTCTCTCTTTCTTGTTGATTTATCCCTCTCTGTTTTTTTTTTAAAAATTGTTTTACTCGTACTATTTTACAACAATATAGGAGTCAGAAATTGATGTAGGGTCCAAATTTCGTTCAACCCAAAATTAAAATTTCATCATTATCGTTAATAATACATTTTTATGAAATTGATATTCAATGATTAGTACTTTGTTTATATGGCTATCTAATTAGATTATATTACCTCTAGTTCTAATTATAAGAGCTAGTTAACTAATTTGACGAGATTAAAGAAAGAAGCTAAACTAGTATTTGTAATAAATATGTGTTATTTTTCCTAAAATATTCTTACTAACAAGTATATTGGTTAGAGCTACCGTTGTTAGAATGACTACCTTGAAAAAAATACATAAATATGAGAGACAAAATGAATTGGACTCTTATATTCAGGATCAAAATAAAAGTCAAATAAGATCGTATATTAAAGACCAGAGATAGTATTTGAGTATCATTGGTACTAATTAAAAGTAATTTTTTCAAAGACAACTCGAACAAGAGATCTCATAATTAAATGGTCAAAACCTTTTTTATTATAAGAATTTGATAAATATTAAAAAAAAAACTACAGCTCACATGAACCTAATTAAAAATTAGGCGAAACTATAACATCTTAATAAAAAGAAAAAACTACGAAGAACCCATTAAAAATCAAGCGAAATCATAGATATTTGATAATTAATTTTTTCAAAAACACTCTAATTAAAGTATATATTAAACTATGCTAAACAATTCCCCCTACATGTATTGTTCATAAAATATGAGTGGCTATTCTATGGTATTAATTTATTTTTAAGATAATATTTATAGTTTAAAATATATGACACGTAGTATCTATGTCTTTTCCAATTCTATCCTTTCTTCATTTATTTCTAGTTTGATAATGCTTTATGAAATTGAGCTTTTTTTTTTTTAACTCAGTAATTGTATTGTGTCATTGGCTTGTTTTAATTTAAAGATGACACTTCTAAGTATTTATCTTTTTTTTTTTAATAACTTAGAGTATTCTCGAGTTATTTTGGATTCAAGACTTATCTGTGGGCCGAAAACATTAAAATTAAAGCTCTCCTAGTCCTTTTTCTTATGGGAATGAGACCATTATTATCTCAGCAAACAACTTATATGGTAAACTTGTTGATAAGTCACTTTGAGTTTGAGATTATCTCTATCAGATCAAAAGTGTTAAGATTAAAATCATTCTAATAAGTGCACTTCTCGAGATTTGAATTTGTGTTCTCTTTCTTACAAAGACGAAACCGCTTACTATCTTAATTAACAATTTGTTGGTAAATATTTATCTTCTTAAAAGATGAAAGTATGATGTCTTTTAATAATATTAAAGATATAAATCGTTACTTATTCAAAAATATGAATAAATTATGCTTTGTCCTGAGTAGTGTATGGGATTGGGGAGGTACTCTGAAGAATAAATTTATGATTTGTAGTGTGATTTGCTGGTTTGTGTTCTTATATTATCTTTGATTGATTGATTTTAAAAATAAAAAAAAATTCATGTGCAAACGAGAGATTAAATATTATAGACAATCATATACTAAAAGGGTGTTTGGCAAAACCAAAACCACGATTTCAGAATCATTTTTCCACAAAACGAGGTAACCTCCTCTATATATTTACTTCGTAATCTGTAAAAGCACTTCTAAAACCATGGTTTGGCTTCTATCCAAACACCCCCAAGTAAAACTACTTTTAAGAATTACATGAATACAGTAAGAAGAAAAATTATACATAAAAAAAAGACTTTTTTGCCAAGTGATAAATGAGATATGAAAGATAGAGCTAGAGAGCCCAAGAAAAATTCATCACCACAACGAATGTGAAGAGAAGGCTTCGAATTAGGGGTCAGGTCATAGTACAAGAGTTATTAATCCGATAAAATGCAGGTCGAAGATACTTAATAATTTTCAAGTTTTTTTTAAAAATATGAAATTACAAGTTCAATCCTACATGAATAGGATGGATTCATTTTCTTGGGTGAGGAATATTTAAAAAGCAAAAAAAAAAAAAAAAGTCTGCTGCAGCCGCCGCATATGGTTTGCATTCGGCGTCCCCTTGCTCTGTATAGGTCCCTGAAGGTCGTGATGACCTGCATCTCCATCTCTTAGTCAAAATACTCCAAATTCTGCCACCTGTCACGGACGAGGCCAAATCTGTACATTTACTGACAACTGGCGTATAACAATTGGTTAGCATATAAATGAGGCTCCGTCCCACCCAAAAACCCGACCCGATCATCAATTAGGGAAAAGGCATAACGTCCCTCCAAAATCCCCAAAAGCAACTTTGCCTTCTCCCTCCCTCCAAATTCCATCCCAGTCAAGCTTCGTGGGCCGTGGATACCGTTTGTCCCTTTTTTCCCTCCTTCTCAACTCGTCCTCTTCTTTTTCATCAGCTCATATATGAGAATCCAATTCCCAGTATCTTCCTAATCTCTCTACAGCTCTACATTATGGCTCTTGTTCCCAAGTTTGCATCTTTCTCTTCTTCTCTGTACAGTTCACCTCATTCCAGAAACGCCCACGCTTCGAACCTACCACCCAATTGTTCATTTAACTGCAATCTCTCTACTTCGCCTTTCACTGAGAAGCATTCCATCGAGAAGTACCAAAGGGACCAATGGATTTACGAGAACCAATTGGGGCAAACTCTGTCCTGCCCTCTCCCATCCTCTTCGGGATCCATCAGGGAGGACGAGATTGCCCTGCAGCTCCCGGAGCTGAACAAGTTGCTTCAGGTGCTTAGAGAGAAGAGGGAAAGTGAAGGGAAGTGCGGCGGCGGAGGTGACGGTTCTCCCAAGGGGAATGTGTTCTTGGTCGGAACTGGGCCGGGGATCCTGAGCTCTTGACGTTGAAGGCGGTTAGGATTATAAAGAATGCTGATTTGTTGTTGTATGATAGATTGGTGTCGAATGATGTGTTGGATTTGGTTGGTCCTGATGCTAAGCTTCTCTATGTGGGCAAAACTGCGGGGTACCACAGCAGAACCCAGGTAAAATAAATAAAAAGGATTATCTTTGTTGTGAATTTCAGTGGAATATTGGGTTTTATTAGGGAACCGCACACTCGTATCACATACTATACAATACTTCAAATTACCCTTGATGACTTCATAATTCGTCATGTTCTGAGATTGGTTTTATGTTGTGTTTTATACCTGTGTTGTCGTCTGTAGTTCTTAGCAAGTGGCTGAGTCTCTGCGGGAATTTCCTTGTGGATTTGGATTTTTTGGCATTTCCTTCATTGCTATAGAGCCATTCCATGCCTTAATGTCAGTGAAAGTTAATTTGTTTTCTTCTGGTAAACTTTTTGGCAGGAGGAAATACATGAGCTTCTTCTGAGTTTTGCAGAAGCTGGAGCTACTGTTGTGAGACTAAAAGGAGGTGATCCATTGGTGAGTTTTCACTTGGGAGGGTCTTGAGTGACATTTTCGCCCCACTAACTTAATGAATTGACCCTTTTGTGATTTCTGTTGCGAACTGTGGAATCTTTTAAATACTTACTATTGGGCATTTTTAGGTGTTTGGGAGAGGTGGGGAAGAAATGGATTTTCTGCAACAGCAAGGTATTCATGTGAAAGTTATTCCAGGTATGCAACAGTTGCAATTTCTTATGAAGTGTTGGTTAGCTCCTCCGCTGTTGCATGTATAGTAGCTTACACGAAGAATGATACAAAGACATTGTAGAAATGATTTGTAATTATGACATGAAACCTATATCTACTTTTATGTATTTTCATTTTGTATGTCCGTCTGAGTCTTATATTGAGGATTATATTTGTAATATCTAAAATGTTCCGGAAAGATGATAACCGTCATGGTTTTATATCTTGGCTACAATACGTCTCATTGTTTTTAAATAGAGAACAAGAAAGTGTTACTTTTTGCCACTATATACAGTTTAAACATGTGAATGTCCTGAAATAACACAAGACCTAATGACCTATATGTAAAATATTTATGTGCACGTGTGCGAAAAAGTACTATACAAAGCATGAAGCACAATTTCTGTTACACTCATTCATCTTGTACGAGATGTGCGTGGATCTGTGGGTTCTATGAGTGTTTTCAATAGGAGAAGACATGGTGATCCTGAAATAATCAGTGTTCTCATTGCTTCAGGTATAACTGCAGCATCGGGGATTGCAGCAGAGCTGGGGATTCCATTGACTCACCGTGGCATTTCAATGAGCGTGAGGTTTCTCACAGGACATTCAAGGAAAGGTGGAACAGATCCTCTATTTGTAGCAGAAAACGCAGCTGATCCTGATTCGACCTTGGTTGTTTATATGGGCTTGTCAACCCTACCTTCACTGGCCAAGAAGTTAATGGATCATGGTCTATCCCCTCAGACCCCAGCTGCAGCCATTGAGCGAGGGACCACACCCCAACAACGCACAGTGAGTATTATTAATATCGTTGTTCTATTCATTGCCAATACCTGCTTTCTTCGTTCTACTTTGACTGTATGATCACTTATTGATTCAATTCTTTAATCAGGAGTTCACTTACTCCAGGTGATCATTTTGTTTCTAAGTCAACTTTCTGCATAATGGATGCTTTAAGGCTGAGCTTTTCGGGTAATCAGTTTTAACAACTGATTTTACTATTTGCAATAATGCAGGTTTTTTCAGAACTGAAGGACCTTGCTGAGAAAATTTCATCTGCTCAACTAGTGTCGCCAACACTTATCATAATTGGAAAAGTAGTGGCGCTATCACCATTTTGGTCAATTTCTTCAAAAGAAGAATCATGCTTGCTTGAGGCATGATGGGCATTATTGATGCAGTCTGAGAAGGCGACGACTTCTAACTGTGAAGTGTGATGGGCATTATTAATGTAATCTGAGCAACTTGTGAGAAGGCGACTCCTCAATTTGAAGATGTTGATACAATTATGGGAAGTGGAAGAACCAGGCAGGCAAAAACTTCCGGGGGTATTGGTGTCCTTGCTGCTTCCTATTTAAGCAGAAGTGGGTCTTAACAGCAAAATCTGGTACTACAAGTTGGAGCTTGGAATGGATATTTGCCACCTCAAAATCTCAAGCACTGAGGAGAAATTTTTTGTCTCATTTCTCATTCATGACAAATTACAATAGAAGAATCAAACAGGTTCTGCGGTCACTAAATTATGTCATTAGCCTCATTGTTTTGTGACTCTGATTTGATTTATTCAACTTTTCTTTGCTGCTATGCTGAATCTTATGGTCTATAACCATGCCCATGTTCATTAAACATTTTGGGGCTAGTTGTATTTATTTCACAAATACATTATCACATCAAAATGCCAAAATCAAGCTATTTGACAAGTTGGAACGGTCCCCCCCTCCCCCCCCAAAACAAAAAAAGGGGGGCGATTTGGCAATGCTTCAACTTATACCAATTAACTAGACGCACTTGTACGTTGGTTTTGAAAAAACGAGCGCTATTCATAATTTGTGATTAGTACAGCTTGTTATAAATATTATATATATTGATATATTAATTATTATTCATGGCTGGTGCCTGGTGATGTGTTTATGAAAATTTTTTTTCCCCACTGCTCAAACCTAAATTTACAGATTTGAAACTACACATTTTAATTCTTTCATTTAATCTGTACAAATTATTACTAGAGTTGAAACTGAACACAAGATTGTTTGTGGCGAGACTTCTAGCACCCTTTACGAGCTTTTGGCATAAAAAATTAAGGAATGATAATTTAGTATGTTTAAGGAATGACGTGAGTGCACCTGCGGTGAGAGTTTCCCAACAAATCTCCCAAGTTGCTTTCCAAAAATAATAGGACCAACCAAAACTAGAGCCAACTCCCGTGTCAGGAGCATCCACTATTTCTGTCGAGTAATCAGCCCAGAGCCTATGACGTTGAGTTATATGAAGGAAGGTGCATGTGAATCATTGCACATGCACTCTGGGACAGGATATTTGGTGACATCCCTTTGAGCCTTGCTTGTTCTGAGTTCAGGCTGCCCTAATGAGTCTTTGTGCAATTCCTTGATGATTCTGTTGAACTCTGCTTCTGGGAGAGAAGAATTCATAAAGTAATGAAGCATTTGTCTTTTGTTTGGGGTTATGTATTTCTTGTGCCCTGCATAAGCTCGGTGGCCCTGCAAATTATTGTTCCATTTGGATTATATATACGAAGTAACTAAGTTAGAGGGTGAATGAACCACTATGAAGCATACCTGAAGTGCGTGGCCCATGTTTCCTCCATGAGAAGGCATGAAAACATCACTCTTATCAGAGACTATGTAATCTATGGCAGCCATTAGAGAAGCCTTGTTTCTGAAAGGCTCTAGTTCTCCTGGCAAGGCGAGATCTTCTTTATTGTAAAAGTGTGGAAACTCTCTAATTATAGGAAGCAATGCTTCTTTTCCACCCAGCGGTTGCCCTCCAGCCCAGTAAATTCTCGCGCTTTTTGAAGCTCCTAGAGCTTTCAGCAGCCTATAAATACGACCCAATAGTTCATTAGAGGAAGTTATATGGTTTTCTCTTAGACTTGAACACGCACGCACGCCCCTACCTGGAAACCTCCATGGCATTCAAGGGACAGAGGCCGGCCAGTTTCCTCTGATGATAAGTCATGTTTGATCTTGCAGTTAAGAGCTGTGGGCGCTGCATCCTTTCATTGTAGATAATCTCATCATACTGTGGCTGGAGACCTGGCAGGCATCCTGTTCTCACCCACACATCCTTTTCCATCCTCAGATGCAGAGCTATGTAGGGTCCATTTCTCCTCATTCTCTCTGCAATCTTGTTCCCAATTTCCTCCACTGGTTTTGCAAACTTTAGTGCGTGAAAAGCAACCTGAGCCCCCCAAAAAAAAAAAAATTACTTTGAAGCTCAATCGTGTTGGAAATAGTTTCATCAATTTGCCACTGTTAGTGTATGGATTCAATGCAGTTTGTCAAATTTTAGTTCAATCATGTTGGAAATAGTTTCATTATTTGAGTCGAATCATCATTTGGTTCACCAAGTGGAATTATGTCTGTTTGAAGCTCAAACCAGATGACAATTTAGTGACGGAGTGGATCAAAAACAAAAGGTGGAGATTGAATTGAAAACACACAAACTGTATTGAATCTAAATCCTCTAAAATTCAAGAAAGAGTTGAATGAAATTACTTCAAACTAAAAGGGTCAAATTGATGAATTAAAGAAAGAAGCGCAATACCTTGCATCGAAGTTTCTGAAGATCGGGAGGAAGATCCTTGGACAGCCTAGAATCCAAGCCACGTAAGAGCAAAACACCTTCTCTTTTGAGCTGTTGAGAGAGGACAACAAAATCATATTATTACCACACTTTACTGGGAGAAACCTAAGTTTTCCTTAGTTATCAGTGGACAAAGCTTATGAATCAACCACAAATGGAATTGCACCCAATAAGCACACATGGGGGTTGAAAGTTGATCAAAGTTCTTGTCTAAAACATTAGATTTATAACCATGTCATTGCCTATGTCATCGACAAATGTGATCAAATAATAGTGTTTCCTTGTAAATATTTTGTTGCTTCATGGATTTCCACTAAAATTTTATTTTAGTTTATTCTTTTTAAATTTAACATCTTATAAATGAGTCTCAATTATTTTAAATATTTTTAATTTGATCATTGTCGTTGAGCCTTTTAGCTCTTATTCGATCCTACCACAGATGATATTCTGAAAGTGAAAATGAAATCACTGACTCTACAAAATTTTATGGCCTCAAATGGACATTTAAAGGTAAAGACCTAATTAATTTTTTAATACTCTTCTGACTCAAGTATAAGTTATGCAAATAAAACTAAACTAGAAAAGAGCATGTAAAAAGTCAAAATAGAAACCAAATGAAGCTCATCTTGCCTCCAAATCAAATGGTTCTGTTCCCTCCTACTTTGTGTACATTTGGAGGGGACAGGAACAAAAGATCATAGAAGATCAAACCTATTTAATTGGAGCATAGAAGGGGACATTTAAAGAACAAAAGCAGAACACATTTCATACCCTTTTGAGATACCGAGAACGGATCCAAGCAGGAGTGACATGAAGAGGAGGGCTTCCCTCCACAGGCCTTGTCATGAGGTGCGTTGAAGGCAATGCTGATACCACTCTCACTTCGTCCCTAAGAACTCTCTTGAAGTGTTCCAAATCAAATATTTCCCCAAATTCACTGCAACCAAATCAATATTAAACTTTTCAGTAAACATTCATTAAGTCTTTAGATCGTTCCCAGCTTCCATTGCCCAGCCAAAAACTTAACCTTCGTTGAAAGTTTAATCACTGCTCAACCATATTTAGATACTTATCTTCATTTCATTTCCAACTTGTTAATTAATGTGGTGTTTCTGGAGAAAATTTTTGGAAGTCTGAACTTGTGGGTCTGTCATGTTTACCTTTCGTCGCCCCAAATGACGTTGACCTGCAAAATAGGTACAACCAAAGCGGCCCCAAGAATTCTAGCAATTACAACAGCATCCACAATCTGATTCCTCTGTTGATTCAGTCCTCCAGCAACCACAACCATCAAATACTTTCTCTTTTCCTTCACAATCCTTTCACTTTCTCTTTTGAACTCTTTGTTGAAATCCAAACATGGCCTATACCCCAATCCATCTGGTTGTTTCCAAAACTCCGAATCCCCTGCTTCATCTTCTTCTTCTCTTCCATTCTCAGAGGAAAAAGCCTCAAGCTCGGATTTTGAGGCATGCCCATATGAGGAAATAGCACCAAGTTCGGATTTTAAATGATAACTACTGGAGATTGAAACATTTGGTAGAGTTATAGCACAAGGGTAGGGAGAAAAAGGGACGAACATGAGAATGCCAAGGAAGGAAAGGGAAAGGAGAGTGAAAAAACAGAGTAGTTTTGAGTGTCTGGCGAAGAAGCCATTAATGAAGAAGAAGGCATTATGGTTCCTTGAAGATTTCTTGGGAGAGTCAAGCAGAGATTGGAGAGATGATGAGGAAATGGGGTTGATGATCTGTGAGGGGACTGAGATGTAGGACAGCTGCTTGGGGGAGTTCTTCCTCTTCCACTTGGCCATTATTATTAATGTGAGGTTGATGGAATGAAATGAGTCTAGGAGGAGAGACAGAAAAGGGTCGTGTTTGGTTTTCCTCCCCCAGAAGCCATGGAGATCATTGCATTTGATTTGTCTTTTATAGAAGCTGTTTCCAACAGAGAGAGAGAGAGGGAGAGACGCAGAGCGGGAACACAAAGCGAGAAGATGACGTGTCTCCTGGTAATGGAAATAAGAGCTGGAATTTTCCTTTGTTTTTTTGAAAAAAAGTCTTTTGAGCTTGCTAGATACGCTTTTATCTAACAAGGAGGGTATCTAGTTGGATCCTGGGATCTCCTTGAATGAAAATGAAAAATTAATTTCGGGTCGGTTTGAGAGGAATTTTTTTAAAAAAAATTTCACATAAATTAAAATAAAATTTCTCTCATACTTAATTCAAATATCATAAAATTATGAAAAGTACTTTCATTGAAAAAAAATTCACATCAAGTTATATACTACTTCTGATCCTAGTTACAACAACTCATTTGTATAATTAGGATCGAAGATAATATATTATGTTAAGTTCTGTATACATGACTATATGCGGCTAGATAAATAAACAAGTTGATACATGTATTTTCCAAAAAATTATACTATTGAAAAGGGCACCTCGACCTTCAAAGTTTTATCTCATATGTCATCGGAAAAAAAGAAAAAGAAAAAAAGCTTTATCTCATAGTTAGGGACATGGAGTATAAAGTAGTATTTTCTATATTCTACAACTTATATTGATTTATAACAAGCTACGGAAAAACACAACATGATTTAGTATTTCGTAAAATGCACAGATACCTAATTAAAGTCACAAAATTTAGTCATATATTCATTTAAATCGATTGATTTAGCTAAACTAAACACTTAATTTAACGATGAACTAGTAGATTTTATTCATTACATAAAATTTAATGAGTAAATTACAGTGTTTATAATTTATAAACACTAAAAATTATTATATAATTTGTTTATACACACACAGATATGATATCATGTTGATCGTTAGATAAATAGTGATGTTTGGTAAAAATACAAACAAACAAAAGATAGGGGATGAGGGGCCGAGGATGCCGTGTCGTTGTGGTAAAAGCCAGCTGCCACCAACAATAAACGACATGTAACGGCCACGTCGCTTGCAATGCGCATGAGTGGAAGGTAAGAAATATTTATTTGACCGAAGGATGTTAGTAGCATGAGCCATCCTAATAAATCCTACCTCCTATTTTAAATATAAAAACTAATTAATTAATTTAAAAATATTAAACAAAATAAATTAATTTAGTTATTTGTAATAAATATGTATTATTTTTTTAAAATATATTTACTAATCAAGTGTATTAATTAGAACTATTATTATTAGAATAACTGTTTTGGAAAAAAATATATAAATATAAGAGACAAAGTGAATTGGAGTTTTATATTTAAAACTAAAATAAAATTTAAATAAAATCTCATATTAAGAATAGGAGGTAGTAGAAAACTACTTGTTACTTCAGATTACTAGAGTCTATTTGTTGAATTTAAGGGAAAAAATAAGTTGTCTATGTAAAAAGGATTTTAACTCATTCCATGAAAGTGGTTTTTTTTTTCTTTAAGTGTTGCTAGGTGTTACCAAATAGTGAAAATCAAATCATGATTTTAAAAATAATTTTATAATATATAAAATAAATATGTAAAATGAGTTTTATCTCAATTAATATAATAATATTTTTTAAAAAAATTCTTTTTTTGGTAAACAAAATACGCACAAAACTATAATGAGTGCTATGTTTGTAAAATTGTTAAATTTTTTACGTTAATTGTATATATGACCTGTAAAAAATTTTATCGAGTATTGAGGTCAATGATGGGGGGCCCACATGTGAGCTGTAGCCTCTTCGGACCACGCTGGCATACTTTGCCACGTGTCAAACAGTAACACAGCAATCGACGCCACATGAGACGTCTTTATCGGGTTATGGGCTTGTGGGCTCCACCCGCCTTTCGTTCATTCCAGAGGTACAAATGTATTGTACTAGTACCCCTGCCCGCCACCTTAATTAAACTGCGAAATGACATTACCGGCTAATTTGTGAATTTAATAGCAGTATTAACTAAACATTGTTAAGCCAAGAGAATGTTAAATAGAATTGTCTTTAATAGAAAAATATTTATATTTTAGCAAAAGAAAAAAAACCTAAACGTTATTAAGCCAGGATACAAAAAGAAAAAACAAAAGAAAAATCACCCCTCCAGATTAAAATTAAACAAAGAGAGATATAAAAAAAATTTAAAAGTTAAATTTCCATATTTACAAGTTTAAAATTGTAAAATAAATCGTTTCTATTTATTGAATTTTGGATATATTATTTTTGTGAATAAAACAACATCATCAACATTTTTGTTGATAATTATATTTACCCACTCAAGACCTGTTGATAAATACCAGTATTTCTCTAAAAAAAAGAATTGACAGGGAAAAGTCATAGATCCAAAAAGGAGTTGTATAATGTTAATGTAATCATTATGGTTGCTATGAAAGAAAAGAATATATAAAAGGTTGAAGTAAAAATATAAAACAGAAGAGAGAAAACGACGGAGATATAAAGAAGGAAAAAGAGAAAGACGATGTGGATGCGTATATTTCTTAGGAGCTAAGTGATAATGAAGTAGAAAATGATTTGGGTGGGGAAAGCATAAAGCAAATCGTAAGTGCATATCATTAAATATGACCCTAACCACAAATAATTACACAATTATATTTAGATGTTATAATAAAATTTAATTACCATATTAGAACAGTTAATCTCTGTTAAAAATTCTAAAGTGATAGTAATATTAACTAATCACATCAGACACTTATATTTAAAAGATTAATGGAGTCTACCAATATAAATTAGTCCGAGCAAAAGCAGTTAGATTTCACTTAAACAAAATCAATATAGTTCATATGTTTGAGTTTGTACATATCAAAAAAAAAAAAAAGACGAATTCCCTAAATTCCGGCTTGATAAAGTCTCAAGTCAAAATTGGTTGCAAACTTGTAATTAAATTGAAGGGCCTATTAAATGATACGAGTAGTTTAGATTTTGAGTTTGAGTTGTATGAATGCAAAAAATGCATTTGGGAGAGAGTTATGTCAAATAATCATATAAAAGAGCATATAGCCATTTTATGGAGCTTAATAATATGCTTTACGGTAAATGATTAGTTTAGGTCTCGAATTTCAGCAAATAATCATATATATATATATATATATATAAAGAATATGGTCATTTTATGGAGATTATTAATATGAATTCAGTTTCTGGTAAATTTAGCTCGAAATACATAGTGAAAGAAAAGTGATGAATGGTTCATCAGCAAATAGCAATAACGTCAAATAAAAGGAAAGTGTAATAACGATATTGAATAATTTCAGCACATATTTGCTTAGTTTCCAAGGGTACTTGGGGCCAAAAAGGACGATGACCACTTGAACTAACTCCATTAATTCACATAACTAATAAAAGATATTGAAACTTCCCATTAAACGTGTAGATTAAATAATGAATGAATATAAAGCACATGCAAAGGTACCAATAAGATTGTTCTAATATGGCAAGTCACTGTGGATTTTATCTGAGAGAGTGAACAAATTAATGTGTGGTCATATCACTTTTTTCTTCCTAAGATAACATAATAGTTGATTTTGAATGAAGTCACATATAAATCCTAGCCAGCTAGTTTCATAATTTATTATATAGATAGATAGATATTTCTCTTTGAGTATAATTCAAGAAAATTAGAATGTGCCCACAATTAATCCATAAATGTCCTTCAATGACAAACAAAAAAAGGTACATGTATACGAAAACATTTTACCTCACGTCCATCCTAGCTACCTCCATTTATTATTCATATTGAAATGAAAAATTAAAACGCCCATATGCATATAAATAAATAAATAATGATCCATATGTAAAAATATAAAACTTACATAATGCACGAATCATAAATAGTGCAATTTATTTTTCAGAGGCAGCATAACATATACAGGAAAACATGTCTAATATTTTTGTAGCTAAGGACATACCTTTTTTCCTTATATTACCATTATGAATGTTCTTGAACTTTGTAACGAGCCAAGTACATTGAATGATTCTAAAGACATGCTTTGAAATTAAAAAAGGTTGTGTTCTTTTATTTCATCTTTCTAAGATTTTTGCTGATGACTGAATCATAGAAATGAAATGACAAACACACAATCATGTATATGTAGGATAATCATGGGTCTTATTGCTAAACGATACATCCTCTAACATGAACATAAGGATTAGTTATGGAGTCCTAGGCTTAAAAGTTTCTTTCTAAGTCCACCACGTGGGATATATATGTAAAATAAGTAAGAAAAAGGGCGTGCTAAGGCTTGAATGTTAAGCGAGGCTTATTAAAACCTATCTCCTTTTCTCTTTCCATCTATCGGTCTGGTTTTGAGAATTTGAAAAGAAACAAGAGTTGGTAGTTGAAGGATAAGGATTTTAATATTCACCCCTTGCAAACCCCGTTTCGCTGTTCTTGTGTCGATTAAATTTTGATATGCCATCTGTGCTTGTTTGGAGGATAAGGATATATAGTAAACCTCCAATTCTTAATATAAGACATAATCAATTAATTTGAGTAAATCAAAGATGTTAGTTAAATTAATTAATATGATTTTTTTCCTAAAACACCCTGAACATTTTTTTTATTTCTTTCCTCCCTCTTCTACTTGATTATTATTGGGAAAATATTAATGAAATTAATTTTAAAAAAATTGATAAACTTGTGAAGTATGTCTTATATAGAGAACTAACATTAACTCTTTAATCAAATTCTATATTAAGGACCGAAGGAGTATCAATTACTCTCAAAATTAGAAAGTATTAGGGAAAATAAATATACAAGTGTACGTACTTAGATTCTCATTCTCAATGTTAGTTCTTAGAGTTTAATCATATTTAAAAGTTGTTTCTGGAATACGTATCATCTAGGTTAGCCTTTTCAAGTGCGTCATTCCGTTTGATGCAACAAATAATGTGATGTGATAACAAAAATCTTGGATTAAAAG